GTCTGGGGCAATAACAGCCTGGGACTGTCACAGTCTGGGACTATCACAGTGTGTGGTTATCGCAGCCTGGGACTATCACAGCCTGGGGCTGTCACAGCCTGGGACTATCACAGTCTGGGGCTATCACAGCCTGGGGCCATCACAGTCTGGGGCTATCACAGCCTGGGGCCATCACAGTCTGGGGCTATCACAGTCTGGGACTATCACAGCCTGGGACTATCACAGCCTGGGTCTATCACAGTGTGTGGCTATCGCAGCCTGGGACTATCACAGTCTGGGGCTATCACAGTCTGGGGCTATCACAGCCTGGGGCTATCACAGCCTGGGGCTATCACAGTCTGGGGCTATCACAGCCTGTGGCTATCACAGCCTGGGACTATCACAGTGTGTGGTTATCGCACTCTGGGACTATCTGGGACCGTCACAGCGTGTGACTATCCCCAGTCTATCCATAGCCTGTATTAATCATTGGCCATAACCAGGAATGAACTTTGTTGTCATCAAAGCCACTTGTATCTGTTTTGTCCTGTAGGAGCTGCGTTTTCCACAGGGATGTCGGGAGGTTTAAGTACCACCATCGCCGTGTTTTGTCATGAGCTTCCCCATGAACTGGGTTAGTATGACAGTCCGCTGCTCGTCCTGACTTTTAATGTGTGTCTGCCTTTACCTCCATTTTCTCACTCTTCTCCATGTCTGGTTTTTATTGTTCATCCCTGGGATGTTCTGTCCCTAATTGCCCAGAGGGTAGGCAAGAGTGAATCCCATTGCTGAGGGGTCACACACAGGCCAGACCGGGGTTAGGTCCTTCCATAAAGGATCACTATACCAACCCCTCTGTCTCACCCTCTCTCTCTCTGTCTCTCTCTCTCTCTCTGTCTCTCTATCTGTCTGTCTGTGTGTGTCTCTCTCTCTCTGTCTGTCTCTCTCTCTTTCTGTGTGTGTGTCTCTCTCTTCTTTCCTCTTGATTTCCCTTTCACTATCTATCTTTCTCTCTCTGCCTTTCTGTCTTATTCTGTCTTCTCCTCTCTTTCTCTCTCCATCTTTCTCTGTCTTGCTCTTTTTCTCTCTATCTCTCCATCTTTTCTCTATCCTTCTCTTTCTCTTTCTTTCTCTGTCTTTCTGTTTTGTCTGTCTCTTTTCCCCTCATGATCTCTCCATCTTATCTCTGTCTCTCTAATTATCTATCTCTCTCTACTGTTCCTCACTCTCTCTCTATCTCTCTCTTTTCATTTTACTCAAACTCTCCATCTTCTCTCTCTCTTTCTGTTTCTCTCTATCTCTCCATCCTGTCACCAACTGCCTTTCTCTTTCTTTTCCTCTCTATTGCTGCCTCTTCTGTCTCTCTCTCCATCTCCTTTCTCACCGTCTCTCTTTTCCTCTTTATCTCTGTTGTCTCTTTCTATCCCCCTTGTCTCTCTTTTCCTCTTTCTGTATGTCTCTGTCCCTCTGTCTCTTACTTGCTGTAAGACTATAAGACCATAAGACATAGGAGCAGAAATTAGGCCTTTCGGCCCATCGAGTCTGCTCTGCCATTCAATCATGGCTGGTAAGTTCCTCAACCCCATTCTCCTGCTTTCTCCCCATAACCCTTGATCCCCTTGATAATCAAGAACCTATCTATCTCAGTCTTAAATATACTCAATGACCTGGCCTCCACAGCCTTCTGTGGCAGTGAATTCCATAGATTCACCACTCTCTTGCTGAAGAAGTTTCTCCTTATCTCCGTTCTAAAAGGTCTTCCCTTTACTCTACGGCCATGCGCTCAGGTCCTAGTCTCTCCTACCAACTCCTACCTATCTCCTCTCTCTCTCTGTCTCTTTTCCTTTCTCTCTATCTCTGTCTATCTCCTCTCCCACTGTCTCTCTTTTCCTCTCTCTCTATCTCTCTGCTCACTCTGTCTTTCTTTACCTCTCTCTCTATCTCTGTCTCTCTCCTTTCTCTCTGTCTCTCTTTTCCTCTCTCTCTATCTCCTCTCTCTCTCTTTTCCTCTCACTCTATCTCCTCTCTCTGTCTGTCTCTCTTTTCCTCTCTCTCTATCTCTGTCTCTCTTTTCCTCTCTCTCTATCTCTGTCTATCTCCTCTCTCTCTGTCTCTCTTTTCCTCTCTCTCTATCTCATCTATCTCCTCTCTCTCTGTCTCTCTTTTCCTCTCTCCCTATCTCTGTCTCTCTATTCTCTCTCTGTCTCTCTTTTCCTCTTTCTCTATCTCTCTGTCTTTGCTGTCTCTCTCTGTTTATCTCCTTCCTCTCTCTCTCCCTCTCCCTTGCCTCTCTTTTTGTCTCTCTCTCTGCCCATGGTGCCCAATCAGCAGGGCTGGCTCTGCCAGGCATTACACAGCTCGGTGTAGGATCCCGCTCTGTCTGGGGTTGAAGGTACCTCTGTTTCTGTTCCAGGTGATTTTGCAGTGCTACTGCGAGCAGGGCTCACACTCAGACAGGCTGTAGTGTTTAACCTGGTGTCAGCTCTCATTAGTTACCTGGGTTTGGCTGTTGGAATTGCTATTGGCCAGCACACTGCCTACATAACACCCTGGATCTTTACTGGAACTGCAGGCATCTTCCTTTATGTGTCTCTGGTTGACATGGTAAGTACATCCCCTTAACTTTACTCCATCAGCTCCCGTGGTTTTAAATACTGTTTTTTTAAAGATTTTAGATGTTATTGCCACACGTTCTCAAGTACAGGAGTACAGTGATAACCGCACATGGCAGCAACTTAGGTACCAAAGCACCAAGGTACAAAAAGAAGCTTAGGTACAAAGTCAAAAGAGAAACAAGAGTTAAAAAATTAAGCATTATTGTCTCTCTCTCTCTCTCTCCATCTCATAGAGTCATAGAGATGTGCAGCACAAAAACTGACCCTTTGGTCCAACTCGTCCATGCTGATCAGATATTCTAAATTAATCTAGTCCCATTTGCCAGCATTTGGCCCATATCCCGCTAAAACCTCACTATTTGTATAACTGTCCTTTTAAATGTTGTCATTGTACCAGCCTCCGCCACTTCCTCTGGCAGCTCGTTCCATACACACACCACCCTCTGCGTGAGAAAGCTGCCCCTCAGGTCCCTTTTAAATCTTTCCCCCTGAGGCACCTCACCGAGGATTGGAGTCAGGGTGGGGCAGAATAACCTTCACTTCAGAGTCAGGTCATTCTGGAAGGAGTGTGAAAGAGCGAGAGAGAGACACAAAGAGGCAGAGACAGAGCAAGGGAGAGAGAGACAGAGAGAGGGAGAGAGAGAAAGAGAGAGGCTGTACAGGACGTTGGTGAGGCCACTTTTGGAATACTGTAGTCAGTTCTGGTCTCCCTGCTATAGGAAAGATGTTGTGAAACTTGAAAGGGTTCAGAAAAAATTCGCCAGGGTTGGAGGGTTTGAGCTACAGGGAGAGGCTGAATAGGCTAGGGTTATTTTCTCTGGAGGCTGAGGTGATCTTATAGAGGTTTATAAAATCATGAGGGGCATGGATAGGGTGAATAGACAAGGTCTTTACCCCAGGGTGGGGGGAGTCCAAAACTAGAGGGGCATAGGTTTAAGGTGAGAAGGGAAAGATTTAAAAGGGACCTGAGGGGTAACTTCTTCACACAGAGGGTGGTGCGTGTGTGGAACAAGCTGCCAGAGGAAGTGGGTGGGGGCTGGTACAGTTACAACGTTTAAAAGGCACCTGGATGGGGACATGGATAGGAAGGGTTTAGAGGGATATGGGCCAAACGCTGGCAAATGGGACTGGATTAATTTGGTCGGCACAGACGGGTTGGAATGAAAGGTCTGTTTCTGTACTGTACAGCTCTATGACTCTATCTTTCTATGACACAGAGAGAGACAGACAGAGAGAGAGAGCGAGATAGACACACACACAGTGAGAGAGAGAGAGAGAAAGAGGCACAGTGAGAGAGAGACACAGAGAGAATGATAAAGTTTAGGGAACGTTACTGTCCACGTGCAGAGTGGGAGAGATGTGAGACAAAGAAAGCAGCACAGCCAGACCCCTTAACTTTCAATCTGGAGGCCAAACTAGGGACTGAATGGCCTCCTGCTGTTCCTGTGTGACAGGCTCGAGGACGGGGCTGAATGGCCTCTCCCTGTTCCCTGTGTGACAGGCACGAGGAGAGGGGGCTGAATGGCCTCCTCCTGTTCCTGTGTGACAGGCTCGAGGAGAGGGGGCTGAATGGCCTCCTGCTGTTCCTGTGTGACAGGCTCGAGGAGAGGGGGCTGAGTGGCCTCCTGCTGTTCCCTGTGTGACAGGCTCGAGGAGAGGGGGCTG